CCCCTCTGTGCCCCCTCCCCCTGGCCCCCCTTTCCTGGGCCCCCCTATGCCTCCTCCCCCCAGGCCCCCTTCCCCTGTCTCCCCCTGGCGCCATTCCCCCATGTACCCCCCTTCCCGGGACCCTTTCCTCTGCCTCACCATGTCTCCCCCTTCCCTGTCCCCCCTTCTTTGCCTCCCCCCTGGGGCCCCCTTCCCCCTGTCCCTCCTTCCCCTGCTCCCCCCCGTCGCCCCTTCCCCAGGACCCCCTTCCGCTGCCCCCCGCCCCCTTTGTCTGTCTCCTTCTTTCCTTTCTCTCGCTCCCTCTCTCCACGTTGTTTCCCCGCTTCGTGTCTCTGTTTCCTTCCTTTCTTCCAGATTCTCTTCTCCCCCCACCCGCCCCTTCCTGGCGCCCTCTGGGGAAGACCCCCCCCCCATATCCCTCTCTTGCCCCCCAGTTCCTTCCCCCTGTCCCCACGTTTCTCTTCCTCCCGCCATGTTCTTCCCTCCTCTCCTGGCTCTGTCCCTATCCCCCCTTCTCCCCATCTCCTTTGTGTCATTTCTCTTCTGTCCCCCCTTTTCTCCTGCCACCCTCTGTCCCCCCCCCTTTTCTCCTCCTCCACCCGCTCCCACTTCTGCACCTTCCCCTTTGGTCTGTTCTCTGCACTCCAGCTCTCCCCCTCTCCCCCCCTCACGGCCTAGGGGTCAGAGCGGGGGGCTGGGAGCCAGGACTCCTGGGTTCTCTCTCCGGCTCTGGGAGGGAAATGGGGGCTGGTGGGTTAGAGCTGGGGGCTGGGAGCCAGGACTCCTGGGTTCTTTCCCAGCTCTGTGAACTTGGACATTTCCCTGCACATACGTGCCTCAGTTTCCCCGTGAGTGCAGTGGGGTAAATAGACCCCCCCCCCCGTTTGAAATGCATTGAGATCGACCCCTGTATAACAGAGGGGTGGGGTTTCTGCCTCCCCCTTTTCATTCCTCCTCTTTCTACCTTCTGCCCCTCTGGGGTGTGCCGGGGTGTTGTGCAGATCACACCTATGGTGTGTGGGGAGAGGCCCCCAGATCTCAGCCGGTTCCCTGCCCTGGCCGCCCTCGGGGCGAGGTTTGTAACGGAGCGGTGCTTGGGAAGGGAGCCGCCCCGGATGCCTGGGTCCAGGTTTCTCCCCGCCTGGCGAGGCCTGGCAGGCTGCGGGGGTGGGAAGAGAGGTGCAGCTGTTCCCTTCAGTCCAGTGCGTCCCAGCGCCACCCACCCTTCCCTCCAGAGAAGCTGGGGCTTGAGAGAGGCCAGGAGCCAGGACTCCTGGGTTCTCTCCCTGGCTTGGGAGGGGGAGTGGGGTCTGGTGGGTAGAGCGCTGAGGGCTGGGAGCCAGGACTCCTGGGTTCTCTCCCCGGCTCTGGGAGGGGAGTGGGGTCTAGTGCTTAGAGCAGGGGGGTCTGGGAGCCAGGACTCCTGGGTTCTCTCTGGGAGATGGGGCGAGGGTGACGCTCCCTGGGTAAACACCCCGGGTGGCTCTGGGAGGGAGTGGTTGGTGTCTGTTTGTGTTGTGGGTGCGGCAGGTCACTCTGGGACCAGGTGCGGGGGGGGGGGATTTGGAGGGGGGTCTTGGCTGCTCCCCCTAACCAGCCCTTTCTCCCCACAGGGGTGGGGAAGAGCAGCCTTTTGCTGCGGTTTGCAGATAACACGTTCTCCGGTAAGTACCCCCCCACCCACAGCCTGGCTGCCCCCCTTCACCCCCCCCAGGTCCCCAGCCTCCTTCCCTCACTGCCCCCCAAACCCCTCTGCCTCCCGATTCCTCTCCCTACGTCAGTCCCCAAATCCTCCCTCTGCCTCCCGTGGGCTCTGTGGTTCTTGGGGGTCCCTTCCCTCCGGGTGCTTGGGGGGGTCCCCAGGGCTGGAGCGACTGCACTCCTGGCTCCAAGCCCCTCTCCCTGGGACGGACCCCACTGGGGGGGCACTGTTGGGTCTGGGGGTGTCTCGGGGGGGGATCCTCACAGAGCCCTGTGACCCCCTCGGCTGGATGCATCACTCGTCTGTTCCTCCCTTTTCTCCTTCCCCTTCCTGGTTCCTCTCTCTTCCCCTCCGTCTCCACGCCCACCCCCTCGCCCCCCCGGCAGGCAGCTACATCACCACCATCGGCGTGGATTTCAAAATCCGGACTGTGGTGATCAACGGCGAGCGGGTCAAGCTGCAGATCTGGGACACGGCCGGACAGGAGCGATTCCGCACCATCACCTCCACGTGAGCCAGACGCCTGGGTCCCATCCAGGGGGGAGCCAGGACTCCTGGGTTCTCTCTCGGCTCCGGGGGGGGGAATGGGGGCTAGTGGGTTAGAGCATGGAGGGCTGGGAGCCAGGACTCCTGGGTTCTCTCCCCAGCTCTGGGAGGGGTGTGGGGGCTTGTTGATTTCTCGGACGCCTGGGTCCCATGGCTTGTCTCTCCCCCTCCCCCCCGGGCAGGTATTACCGCAACACCCACGGAGTCATCATCGTCTACGATGTGACGAACCCCGAATCCTTCGTCAACGTCAAGCGCTGGCTGCACGAGATTGGGCAGAACTGTGACAGCGTCTGCAAAGTCCTGGGTGAGTCTGGGGTCCCCCCGCAATCCCCCAGCACTGCCCTGCCCTAAGGGATCTGTCCCTTGCCCCCCATCCCCCTACCCCTGGGGACTCTGGGTTAACCCTTGGGGGCCCAGACCCCCGGGTCTGACCCTCCCCCCTTCCCCGCAGTGGGGAACAAGTGTGAGGACCCATCCCGGAAGCAGGTGGAGACGGCCGACGCCCGGCGCTTCAGCGAGCAGATGGGGGTGCGGCTCTTCGAGACCAGCGCCAAGGAGAACCTCAACGTTGAGGAGGTACCGGCACTGCTATGGGGAAGCTCGCAGCATGGGCGGGGATGGAGAATCCAGCCTGGGGGCACTGCTGAGGGGAAGCTCACGGCACGGTGTAGTCTCGGGATGCGGGGGAGGGGCAGGAACAGTCCATGGCTGGGACACTGTTGCCAGGAAGCTCCCAGCACCATGCCGGGAAAGGGGGGGGGGGGGGAGGGTGGGACTGCCGGGAAGTTGGCCTTGGCCTGGCACAGCTGTGAGGAAGTTTACAGCCCTGTAGGGGGTGGGGAGGGAAGCTGGCAGGGCACTGCTGTAGGGAAGCTTGCAGCAGTGGGTGGGTGGGTGGCGGGGGAGTTGCCAAGAAGCTTCCAGCACCATGGGGCGAGGGGAGGAGGAGAGGCTGCAGGGAAGCTCGCAGCGCTGGGATGGGGCCGGGGGCCCCGCTGCGGGGAAGCTCGTGGCGCCGGGTGCCAGGCTGGGGCTGGGGGCACCGCTGCGGGGAAGCTCGCGGCGCCGGGGGCGGGGATCGGGCCGGGGCACCGCTGCGGGAAGCTCATCACCCTCTCGCCCGCCCCCCAGATGTTCAACGCGGTGACGGCCATGGTACTCCGCATGAAGCAGGAGAACCTGGCGCGGCTGCAGCACCCCGAGGTGGTGAAGATCAACAGGCCCAAGAAGAAGCCCCCCGTCAAGAAATGCTGCTGAGGGGCCGGGGGCCCCCTGAAAGCTAGGGGAGCTGAGCCCCTGCCCCCACCCCCTGGGGCAGGATGGACTGTGTGTATATGGGGGGGGGTATCTGCCCCCCCCGTCTGGGGGCTCCTGGCTGTTGGGGGACGAGGGGCTGGAGTGGGGGAGAGCTGGAACTTGGGGGGCTGGCGGGGGGGGGGGGGTTGGGTGGAAGGAACAGAGAGAAGGGGAAATGGAGGAGACTGTTCTGCCCCTGGGGGGGCCTGGCCCCCCAGTTTTTCCCCCTGCCCCCCAATCTGCTCCGGGCCCCCCATCCCTATCCCTCCACCCCACTGTGAAAGGGAAGATGCCACTTCCTGCCCCCTGCACTTCGGGGTGCACATGCCCCCCGAACTCATCCCACAACTCTGGAGTGGGGGAACACGTGGGGGTTCCTGCTCCGCCCCTCCTGTGCCCCCATTTGTTTGGGGGTGTCTCCCTGCTCCAGCTCTCCATTCTCCCACAGGGGCCCTCAAATGTTTTCCAGTGGGGCCCCCCAAAAGTGCCCTTCTGCACTATGCAATCCAACCCTCCTGAGCACTGGAAAGGCAGCACCTAGGAAATGGGGGTGAAGCCAGCCCCCTGAACCCTCTCCTTGCCCCCCACGCTCTGGGAACAGCCAGGGATATAGCCCCCCCATTGGGAACAAGATGGGGTTCCCCCCTCTGGGATCAAATCTGGGGTTTGCTGCCTGGCTCTGAGCTCCTGCCCCACTAGGAACGGGGTGGGGGGCTCAGCAGTGGGGGGCAGCCCCCGAACGGGGAGCAAAAGGAGGCAGTTCACAAGTGGGGTGCAGCCCCGGGCCCCCTCCTGGGGGGCATAAGGGGAGCTTGGAAGTGGGGTTCACCCTAGCACTGGAACTGGGGGCACGGCTGGGGGGTGGGGTTGGCCCCCCAATAACTGTGCAATAATCCGGCCATGCCCTGGGGGGGCTGAACTGACACTAACCCTGCCCCAGAGACTGTTTTTCTTCAATAAAGACAATTTAGGTATGAAAAGACGCCTGATTGCGCAGCCCAGACGCCTGGGTCTCTCCCTGGCTCGGGGGAGTGAGGTCTAGGGGGATGGGGCTGAGAGCCAGGACTCCTGGGTTCTGTTCTTCGCTGTGAGTGCCTCAGTTTCCCCTGCACTAGGCGGTTATGACTGTCGGGGGGGCCCCGGAACACCCTCCCCGTAACAGGAACCTGCTTAATTCAGATTCATTCTGTTTACACTTCGCCATTCTGCTTTGGGCCAGACCTGCTCTGGGGGGGAGACCATGGCCAGTGAGGGATCTGCAGGGAAACGGAAACCGGATTCAGTTGGAGGGCCTGGGCCACTGTGGTGAGGAAGCTCACTGCGCCAGGGGATGGATAGCGGGGGGGGAGAACTCGCTGGCAGGGGGGTCACTGAGGCAGGGCACAGCGCTGGGGGTGGGCCAGTGGGTGTGGAGTCTCTGGCTGGGGGCACCGCTATAGGGAAGCTCACAGCAGCAGGGTGTGTCGTCACTGGCTGGGGGCACTGTTGGGGGAAGCTCGTGGTGTTGCTGGGAGGGGGACTATTCCTGGCGGGGGGGGGAGTGTTGTAAACCACTTTCGAGCGCCTCCTCTGCTTTTGAACTTTCAGGCCGGGGAGAAACGCCGTCCCGCCCCGAGAACTGCCTGGGCTGGGAAATCTTCCAGGCTGAATGCAAACCAGGGGCGCCCAGTCCCTCCAGCAGGGAGAGAGGGGACCCCCCCAAAGTTCCCCCTCCCTGTGTGGGGGGCAGCCCCATAAACACTGCAGACCTCCCCAGCCTCGGGTCTCTTTCTTTTATTGACCCCCGGCAGCGGGAGAGAGACAAACACTTCAGTACAGTTCGTTATGTGGCCACAGTGTCCCTGGGGGCGCTGCTGCGGGGAAGCTCGCAGCGGCAGGGAGGCCCCAGCTGGGGGCACTGCTGTGGGGAAGTCTGCAGCGCTGGGGACAGGGTCTGTCCAGGGTGAGTCGTACCCAGCATCTGTCCAGCGGGGACGGGGAACGGTCCTGTGTCACAGCTCCATCTCCTCCGCCCGTGCCCCCTGCCCCCGGCCCGGGGGGAGCAACAGGGGGGCAGCCAGGGGGCTGGGGGGCAGCATGAGGGTCCGGATGGAGTGGGGCACCCGGCTCCCCGGGGGGGTCCACAGCACCAGCTCCGCCGAGGGGCTCCTGGGGCAGGGGAAGGAGACAGAGGTGTTAGATAATGCGATCCTGTCCCCGCCCCCCTCCTGCCCCTCCGTGAGGCAATACTCACATGTACTGCAGGGGGCCCGGCCCCACCAGGCCGAGGGGGGTGCAGTCTGCCATGCTGAACTCCCCCTCCAGCACCACGCTGCCCCCCTCGGCCTCGGCCCCGCTGGCGTCCTCGCTCCCTCCAGCCAGGGGCAGCCTGGGGGGGAAACACACAGCGCTGAGATGCAGCCACCTCTGGGGCCAGTCCCCCGTTCCCCCCAGCCCGATGCTTCCCCGCCCCTGCTCCCCTTGGTACGCCCCGTGTACCTCTGCTCCGGCTGCCGGCAGCGGGCGTAATCCTCCACCCACTGTGCCCAGGCAGGGTCGGGCGCCGGGCCCCGGGCGGGGAAGCCATTGCCGCTGTAGGCATGGTCGTTCTCCAAGCTCAGCGTGTTGAAGCGGGCCGCCATCTTCTCCTCCGACAGGAACTGCTTTGGGCCGGGCTGCCTGCGGCGGGCGGGGAGAGAAAGGGGAGCTCCCAGAATGCACTGCACTCGGTCGCGCCAACCTGGGGGGCTGCAGGGTGCCCACTTGCCCTGAGACGGGGCTTCCCAGCATGCATTGCGCACAGTCGTGCCAAGCCTTGGGCTCCTGAGTGCCCTCGTGACCAGTCCGGCCAAGCCGGAGAGCTCCCAGAAGCCATTGCAGCGCCTCACGCCAAGCCCGGGGTGTTACCTAGCAGCTGTGTTCTTGGGGAACCCGGGCGCGGTGCCCAGCCTGCCTGACTCCTGAGGGACCCCTGCCCCCAGCCTCTGCTGGAACCAAATCTGCATCAGAAGAAAGACTTACAAAAAGCAACGCTGAGGCCGTGGGAGACACCCCTAACCCTGGGATCCGGGGGACAGGATTAAAGAAACTCCCCTGGCCTCATCTGCATGGAAGACGGGCCAAGGAGACAGCGCCGGTAGCACACCGAATGGAGACCAGGGAACCGCACTGAACTCTGGGAGCAGAAAGGCAGGGACGCACTGCATGCTGGGGGATCTCTGCTTCAGATGTTAATGAACCCACGCCTGCCCACACCCAGCTCAGGAGTGATCAGAGCAATTCTAGTCATGAATCCTTGACTGGGATCCCAACGAGTGACGCTCCCAAGTGCATTGTGAGCTCCCCGGAAGGAACATCAGCTCCCGCTGTCGTGAACAAAACAACTCGGGGATCTTCCCTTGAGCCACCAGTTACCCATAAACAAATCTCGTGTTCTCCCTCCAACTGTTCTTGTTTCTCTACAAAAACCCCTCTCCACCCTCCAGTCAGTGCTCTGATGCCTGGATCCAAACTCTGCCTCAGTTCCCCTGGAACTCCATCTTCTCCCCACTGATGGTGCTGGGGGCTCTGCCTGGCTCCAGCACCTCCGCTACCACCACCACCTCGGACCCCCGATCGAGTCAAGCTTCAGAGTGGTGAGAACCCAGCGCACGCTCTCTCTCTAGGTGTAGCCTTCTGACCCTGACGTGTGGGATTGTCACGGAGTATTGGGGAACTCAGGGCCCTGCACCCCCGGCTTCCTGCGATTCACCATGACTCTCAGCCAGCCAGTAAAGCAGAAGGTTTATTTGGATGACAGGAATACA